CCACGCTGGCCCGTTGCGCGTAGAGTCTCGATACGCAAGGGAGTCGGTTCCAGCGCAGGAGGGGCCTGGGTTTGGGGCCCGTCGCGTGTTTTTGCCCCCCGTCTGGCCCCCACCGCAGCTCATCGTTTTTTGTCTGGTGCACTGCATGCGTTGCACCCCCGCCCCCCTTGCACTCTGCCCGCCGCCGCCGCCGCCGCCGACCATCCTCCTCCTCCTCCTCCTCCTCCTCCTCCTCCTCCTCCTCTTCCTCCTCCACCTCCTGTCCCCTCAGCTTTCTTTCCTCCCTCAGCCCCTTTCGTCTTCGCTACACCACAATGCACCGCGTCCGCTGCACCGGCGGGCTAAGTGCGCGCACACTGACGACTGGCTACGTGTACGTCAGTGGTTCTTAACCTTTTTAAGCTCTCAGCGCATTTTAGAAAACTCTCGAGCCGAATTCACATTGCTAAACATTGCTGTACAACGAATTTCTTAACGACTTGTTAGCAGAGTCTAGCTCTTGAGTTGCGACAAGCTCGTGTAATATACTTGCAATATACATGTGAAATGTAATAACAGGCCTTTCTGTATCCAACTAGCTATAGATTAGATATCACTCATGGATCGTCAGCAGTGGGGATAACCACGGGATTCACTGTTCCTCGTATTATTATTCCACTGCTTCTGATCACCGCGGTACTTAGTAATTAACTCCAAATAAATCCATGAAATTTTTGGATGGTCCTACGTTTGCAATATTTATATAGTCTCCGATAACAAATTGAAAAGCATCACGGTCGTTTTTCGAATTCAGGAACAAACCACGTGTCTTTGATACAGTGATTCGTCGAGCGCTGGCAGAGCCTGCGGTTTTGTCGATACGCTCGGTTTCGACGGTCAATTTGAATAGATTTTCGGTTGCGACGGCCGCCATCGATTGGAACGGTTACGAGGCGACGCTCTAATTTTTATTGGCCGGTGAACGAACGCGGAATTGGCCCCGATTTTCGTAGCGTGGGATCGCTCGGTTTTCGTGGGGCTCGTTCGGCGCTATCTCTGCCGCTGCACGCGACAGCCGTTCCAATAGAAACGATGTCTCCAATTGCATCAAGCGAAACTTATCATTTCAACAATTTCTTTTTCTCAACAAAACGCAGAAAAGTCTTCGTTAAATCAAAGCAAATTGAAACAGTCTGTTTATATTAGAAATCCTAGGACAAAGTCGAGAGGGTACATGTATATTTATTTAACTCTTAGGAAACCTTTTATATTCACGGTTGAGTGCAACGTGTCCGCCGAAAATGCAGCAGACTGGACGAAGGAGAGGCCAGTCGACGCCTTCTCCCTTCGGCTCGCGTCTGGTTGGTGACTGTAAATCGGCGTGGCACGGGCCCGTCGAAACGACACCGGCGGCAGATGCATCGCGAGATCGGCTGCATCTTCCGCGGACTTCTACCTCCACCTTCTCCTCCTCCTTTGGCGATCATAACCACGGAGTGCGTGTGCAACGAGTCGACGTCCTCCCCCTTCCACTCTTGATGCACCACCGTGGCACGTACACCAGTGTCTCTTAACCATCATGCCGCGAATATTTGGCAGCCGATTCTTACGTTGTTTTATCTTTAGGGCTACGTAAACTCAGCCTGAATTAGACCATTACTGTCAATGTTTGTAAATTGTTTGACTCATTGAGAGAGGAAGGTTGTGATCCTCTTGTCGCCGGTGTCGAAGGGTCTCGAAGGATCTCGAAAGCTTACCAGGAGCGAGGGAGTCCGAAGCCCCGGCTACCTGACGAGTTCCTTTCGCGTCGAACGCTAGAAAGAGAAGCAAAAAGACACGAAGAAGGGAGATACCGCTTTCGGGGATCGTTGGATAATATGCGCCGCGGATCCTGCTACACGCGGCACACCATCGGGGTCTTGCCCGTTCGGCCTCAGCGGAGCACCAACAGTTGGCTCGCGCGGAGTCACGAAGGCCGTCTTCCAGAAACCTCTTCAGGGAAATCTCGTCGGGTCAAGGAAAAAACCGAGCACGCCTTTGATCGCGCGGTTGACCAGAATGCCAAGCGTTCCTCCTTGAAAGACGGAAGCGAACGACCCTCGCAAATTGTCGACACTCCCGGCGGCAACCATGCTCACGCAATTGTTTTTATCGAGAGAAACGTCATCCTTTATCCTGGTCAAGTCTCCCTAGATCTCCGAGGAGAAGTGATTCTTAACTTTAACTTGATTCATCTTGATTCATCTCTAAGTGTACTCGACTGGTAACTGGCTATCCCGTTAGTAATGAAGAAATCTAGTAGGTCAGGGATTCTATCTGGTTCCGTAGGCCGGTACGTGGGTTCCTCGGATGATCGATGGGGGAATTTTCCTCGCGAAGTGGCGTCGAGTAGGTGGTGTCGTTGCCTCCTCAACTTTGGATCCCTCCTGTATGTTTAGCGCTTCGCTCTTTGCTACAACCAAACATCGAGTCGTACCAAGAACGGAAGGGCCTTAATTAGCGCGCGAGTGACCCGAAATGAGTCCGTTTTTCGTTCTCGGTGGTCTGACTCACCGATCTGGAAGGTGCAAGGACCTTCGTCTCAGACGCCAGACATCCTAAACGGTCCGTCAAATATTGACACGTGGAACGTTTGGCGACCTGCACTGGTCGGCTGAGACGAGCTTCCCAGGACGACCTTGCGTTCCCTTCGAACTTATTCGAAGAAAGCCGCTGGACGAGGACTTTCGACGTTCAAACAAGTCAGGATAGGACGTGGCGGCTAATAACGTTAATGCTGCGACTTGTCGCTCGAGGAATGTCGTAAACGGACAAGAGTGGTCGGAGAGTCGCATTGGAGCGCTTGCACAATCAGAGGGTGATACTTTGCGCATGGATGGGAGCTTTCAAGCTTTTTGGACGTGGAAGGTAGAGAGACGGAAATCAATAATAAAATCGGCTGAACTTTGTAGAATACAGAAACTAAATCTATCGGACAGGAATTCTCCATATCTTCAGCTAGACCATGATGGAACCAACCATCGAAACATCGCCAGACTCACCGAATTTCCAGGGTCCGGTGAAGTCCTTTGTCCAAGGGACAACTGGTGCGCGACCGTTTCGCAGAAGTTTCAGCCACGGTTAGGGACCTCTTTTCGCCCTTTCCTGTCTGTTATTTTTTCCCTTTCCTTTCTTTCTTTTTTTCGTCGTCGCTGTTAGCGTCTCGGCGTGACCACTGGGGCTACGGGGTGCACCGTCGCGACTCGTAGAGCGTTTAACGAGCGGCTGGGTGACGAGCGGTTCAAACCGTTGAACCGGCGATGATGAACGTTGATAAGGTTTTATGGTCGTGTCTCATCCTGTCCCACCAATCGCGTCCTCCAGCGGGCAGCGACGTGCTCGCACACAGGCACACTCTTGCGCTCACCTCTTCGAGTACACGGCAAGTTACGAGCCAGCGACGCTCGTTCGCCTCTTTTTGCTAGCCCTTTCTTTTTCCGAGCTGCACCTTGCCCTTCGTTCTGTACCTTGCAACCATGAGGCACAGGTGGCGGTGGTATGCTTTGTTTGGTAAATGTTGTCTTCGTGATCCTGACGTTTTGGATAGTAGTTGGGTAACGAGAGAACATTCGTGTTAGAAATTGATTCTTTATTATCAGACTATTGGAGTGACGCGAATGCCAGGCAGATATCACACATGGAACAAAAATAATGCACGGATATCACACAGGTATGACAGATAGCACGTAAATATCTCACACGTCGTACACGATTTTCTTACACTTCTGTGTATGCCACTCGCACGAAACACGCACGGTCTTTCGTCCATGTATTGCGAGTAGATTTTCCCACCGAGTTTTCGAGACGTTGGACGAGCGTCGCCGAGCGTGACTATAAGAAATTTTCCAGTCTCGTACACTCTCTGAATGAGGAAGAGACGCGAGGGGGCCAGTCGGAGGGAAAACTCGCGCTGGAACTTCGCGCCTCGAGTCTTTTTCACGCATCACGTACGAAATTGACTGGAAGCGGGAAGTTAGTCAATACTTTTGTACACTGCCACGATGAAAAGCGTACCGAAGGTCTCTCGCGTCGACTCGAGGCGGTTACTGTTCGAATTTATCCATCCGCCTAAGTTCGTCCATTTGCAGCTGGAATTTCAAATTTAATCCACTCGATGGCAAATTTATATTTCCATGAAACGTCCAGTTTCTATTTGTATTGTAAAAGTACCGTGCTCTTTATTCGCGTTTAAACTGTGTCTTGAAAATCACACGATATTTGAACAGTTTCCACTTGCATATTTTTAACCGACTTCGAAAAAGGAGGAGGTTACTCAATTCGACATTTATATATATATATATTTTTTTTTTTTTTATTCGTAGAAACGTACTCCTTTATAGTATACCTCGTTCTCTCAACATGCGCTGATACCATTCTCTAGAGTCACAGTTATCTCGAGCGATATTTTACCGAGAAACGTCTAGATCCCCCAGGAAACGGTCTGGGAAGGAACGTTCCCCGCAAGAAAAAAACCGCCTATCACTTATCACTGCTACACAGATTACCAGTCGGCGTATTCGTTTCTTGGTTGTGCAAGTGCGACTTTTGCAGTGCTCGCTGAGAAGAACTCTATCGTTGAAACGTTTATAAATTGCGCGTTCCTGCTATCGAAATCCATTGGTACGATGCTACAGAATTATTACAAATAGAGTCTCGCTTTACAACAAAAAAAAAAGGGCATTGCTGTAGAGACACAATTCTTTTTTATATCGATACTTAGACAATTAGAGACATATTAAGGACAGCAGGCTTTAGTTTAGGCTCTTCAGTCCATATTCCAAGTTTTCTTTAAGATAACACGGCACCTGTTATTCCACTTAAGATAGGGACTTCTATATCATCATTCGACGATCGATTAGTTCAAACTTGAAAGTCCTCCAAGGAAAATACAGCTACGCGGTATGTGTCATTTTAAATCAATTACAGCGAATTAACGTCGGTTTTCTCAACGTTGACCTTACCGTTTGATATTTGTATTGCAGTGAGCGCAAGCAGCTACATAGTGTCAGTGGTGCTCGTCCTGGTAGTCGGAGCACTGGTGGGTGTCCTGGCGACGGTATCGCATCATCTTCATCATCGTCGGCTGCTACTGCACGAGCCAGCTTCCGCCTCGATTCTGCATCACCATCGGCACCATCATCATCGTCACCACCACCACCATCATCATCATCATCATCATCATCATCGCGAGGAACTGCCGGCGTCGCATCAACGTCGTCTACTGCTGCAGGATCACCATCGTCATCCTGGCACACCGGTGAGTCTTAATAACACAACATGCTTAACCCTTGCAATAGCATCCTCGACCTTGTTACCTTTCTCAATCCACTCCAGCATCTCGTCTCCCCAAGTATCTTTTCCCACTCTTCGAGATGTTTTGGAAGAAACTAGATCACTCTATTCGAGAACAAACGCCGTGTAGCGGACCTAGAAGACTGCCACGAAAGAACCTCGAGGAACAACCTAATAACATCGCAGGAATCCGTCGTCAGCGATTTCCGCGTTCCTTCTCGCTACTCCCTCGCATACCTAACGCGACTCGTGACTCCTGATAGCGTGCACGATCACGTTATTCGAACGGACGTTAGAGACACCCGCGGAGCGGAGAGGAGGCGGGTGGTCGTGGAGGAAACGCGATTTCCCATCCGACGGAGGTAGCCGCGACGTCGTCGACCTTCGACGAGATTATTACGCGATTCGTGGAACGTCGAAGGCTGTCTGGAAAAAAAGCAGCTGATATCTAATCTCGGCCTGGATGGTAGCGCAGCTGGGTCTATCTAACCCACATGTTTCCCTCCCTGGCCCCGTCTGGGAAATCAAACCGTGATCTCGCGCCCACGTTTCTTTCTCTTCTTCCTCCTTTTCGACTCGTGCTCATCCAGCTATCTCGCGAGCTTTCCTCATTCTTTTCCCCAGTCTTTCTAGCGCCCCTGTGAAATGGGTGCTGTCTTCATTGTTCCCCCGACTGTCAACGTTGGCTGCTATTCGATTGGGGGTGGCGGGGAGGTAGAGGTAGACGAGACACTTTATAGGATTCGAGTTTGGTGGGTGAATTTTGTTCTTCTTATTTGATCATTTTTAGTGTCTCTTGAAATCTATGGGTAAATAATTATTCATTCCAAACCATCGTTTAGCCAAGCCCATAGAAGCGTTCGCTATATTACACACGTGTACAGGTCATTGCACCGTGCAATGAATACATCGCTCAGGTGTCGAACAGAGACCGTATCAAATATAGCAAAAACCTGTTTCTGTCCAGTAGGAATGCAAACTCGTAACATAAAGTCAAAACACCCCAATCATTACGAGTTCCAAAACGTTTAGCAAAAGAATGAACTTCCTCGAATAATAATCCACGAGTAATTCTCAATTTCTTCCGCGCGCGTCCTCGACTTTTCCCGCCGTGGACTTTTCTTTCACCTCCGAGGATCCTTCACGTGGCTGTAGGCGAAGAAGACGAAGATCCTTCTCCGTCGCCTTCCACAAAAGATTTATTTCCAGCGGACGCGACAAGACCTGATAACATCACCGTCGCCCAGACACGAGGAAACCCGGAGAAACGGAAAGACGAACGGATAGAGAGGAGTGGGAATGTCCCTGATTCGATTTGTCTCGCGCTACGACGTGCTTATGGCCCTGACGTCGGACTTCCGGAACACCGGGGACGTATTGTTCGCCGCCGAGGATAGCGTCGCAGACGGTATCGATCCGTTTCCCCTGGCCGCTTATGCGCGAATCCATCGCGTAAATAGAAATTAGTCGACGGATTCACAGTCTGCACGCGAATCGTGTCGTTGCGGATTTGATCGCATACAACGTAACGCGTACGTGGAAAAGACGCACATAAATGACGCGCGAGTATCTTTCACTCTTTTCTGGATGTCAAAAAAACCCCAAGTATCGAAAACATTGGGTCATTCGCTTCGAAGGCCTTGATCTTGACTTTATATTTCAATCTAAAAGGGAATCAATCGTTTCTATTTCTCCTATCGACACAGCAACCTTCGGTTTCCTTGAAATTCTCCCTCTTTCTCCTCGACTCGAGCAATCCGACAATTATCCAGGGGTAGCGCGGCAACGACCTGCCACGGTAATTCACTTTCAGGGAAAAACAATTTACTTTCTTCCCTCCACCCACCCGCTCGACTCGCGTACAACGCTTTTGCGACGCGGTTCCGCAAGAAGCCCGCGAGTGAGGGGGATGCTAGCCTGAATCACAGGCAGAAAGGGGTGGAAGGTGGTTTACGACGAGCGCACAGCTCGAAAACCAACAACTACCCAGGCAGCGATATTGCAACTTGAGCAGCCGGGGACGAGAGAGGGTAGAAGGGTGACGGCTGTCCGTGATCTAATTTGCAATGCAATCTAGAACAACAATGGTCCGCGTCGCCGACGAAAGGGGTGGCCCGGCGAAACGGAGGGTGTAAGGGTGGCGGACCTGCAGACTTCGGCGGAACCCGACGAATTCCAAGTTTCCGAACCAACGTTATCTCTTGTGCCGCGGAAATTAAGTATTGCTAGGGCCACAAACACCTCGCCCATTTATTACACGAATATCGTGAACTAGGATGCTTAGTTAATTGGACAACGTGTATGTGCGCTGAAATTCATTCTTGAGCTCGTTACCCTTTGCTACTCCTCGCGTTACCGAAAGTATACACAAAGGAATGGCCTGGGAGTAATAATCTCGACACCCGAGGTGTTACAACGTATTCAGCTTTTAATTTCAATTTGAGGAGCCTTTCAACCAACGTACAACCTACAGTAGTCCTCGAATGATCCACGACCCCAAAGAAAATCGCAGTAGGAATGGATGTAACAAAGTTCAGAGGGGGGTTTCGTTCGAGGATAAGCTGACGCAAAGTTTGTAGTGTCTTGGATGACACAGTGTTTACAAGAACGGGTGACGCAGAGTCTGGATGACACAGCTTAGATGAGAGTCCGCGGATTAGGGCGAGTACATAACAGTATCTCCCGGTCCGCGGCACTGGCAGCAAAATAAGACGATGTCCTCCAGTTGTACGCAAGGAATCGACCCCGTTCCCCATCGCGCGATTCCCCAACCGAGGTTTGCGTCGGTATTCGAGTGCTGTTGGGGTTCGTTGCACTCCCTCGTACTTCGTTCCAAAAGAAGAACGCTTTATTACGCCACTTTCGTGCAACGAAAGTGACTCGGCGTCCAGAAATGTCAACGGATAGAGCAACTCGTTCGGTGGGTACACAGAGACGCGCGTTCGCTCTTGCTTTCGCTGAATAAAAAGAACCTTGACATTCCAGAAGTCGAGCCGACTGGACGCTCAAAGACTTTTCCTTTGGCAGTGTACATTTTCCTGTCTATCCAGGGAAAAGCGAGAGGAGGAAATTGCAGTTGCATCGTTTCGATATTATTATTTCCAGTTTCATTGGAAGTTGATGAGCAGCTTGTCTTTTGAAAGGTTCGTACTCTGGCAGGGTTGGCGTTCTTGTGGAGTTTTACTGCCTTCAAGCAGTGTCGAACGACGCCTGACATCCGGGTAACACACTAGTGTTAAGTCTCTTCATCTAGCCTCAACCCTATGGTTACAGCGTCCTCTCGAGGCTATTTTCAAAGTTGTCGAGCCGAATTGCATCCTTATTTTTAACCGACTTTGAAAAGGAGGAGGTTACTCGATTCATCATGTATATTTTTTGTTGTCGCGTACACGATGGTCTAAATCTAACGAGTTATTAATCAAAGTTTGGCTAGTGTCCTTATTCGTACCAAACCTCATATACAAGTAGGAGTTTTGAAGTCGCAAAATTCAGAAAAGATACATGGTGCTAGGAGAAAATCTGATCGAAACAACAAGTATCCAGCAACAGCCCACTCATCCGAGGCAAACACGTTCACGTCGCGTAGCCTCGCCAGAGACTCCTGCTCGAAGGCCTATCGACCGGTCGATGGTGTGCGTTCACGTACCCCGGGCATCGATACCCGTTCCCGTGTACGTGGAAAATGGAATTTTCGAGCGTTCGTCTGGCACGTGACGCGAATCCAGCAGCGATCCAGTGGCGCGGTTCTCTTATTTCCAGCGGTGCACGCGCTCCTCGTCCTCCCCACGAGAAGATGCTCGACACGTGGAAGTGAAAGGTCGGATTTCGTAGGAGGCTAACGTTCCACGACGGAATCCTGGATACCTATAGCGTCCTCGTCCTCCTTCGGCTCCTTCCTCGCGATCCTGCGTCGTGGTTTCTCTCCGCGGTGTACCACGCCACCGTGAAAAGCGATTTGTTTGCGCTGCTGGTTGGCAAGTTCGCGTGTAAATCTCGACTCGCCGTGAAGAAGAGTTGCAGGTATAATTATTTGGGAAATTTAGGATGCACCCTGGGTAGAAAAATCCGCTTGCGTTTGTCTTTGGGAGACTTTGCTTGGTTTGAGTTAGAAAGTAGTCTGAAGTAGTCGGAATCTGGGAAGGATGAAGAGGCTTAATTCTTCATGCTTGGACTTACTATGTAGGAAAGTCTCCTCCGCAGGCTTCGTTCGATTTTCCTTTTATTTTGGAGGATTCCTATGATTAGATTTGTTTGAAGATAGAACATACGTTAATGATTTTTTGAGGCTTGGTTTAACGACTGCTACGCGTATAATAAACCTTATACCTCGTACAAGTCCATAGTCCAGTATGTATTAACTTCCTTTCATAATAAATAGACACATAAAATGGGGTAGGATCCTCACCATACAAGAAGATACAAGGCCTGTCCAATGCGGAGGCTGGCGTCCGACCGTCGAAAATAGTTGGAAACGACCATAGTCCGCGAGCGTGAAACCAGTCCAGCGAGTCGGGCAACGGCGCGCATAGATTACGGAGCTAAATGGCGTTAGGGGGTGAGGATTATCGACGGCGACGCGACGCTGGTAAAAGGATCGCGTCGCCAGAAAAATCGCGCGGACGGTCATTACACGGTCGCGACACGCCTTTTTTTATCGTCGATATCGTTACCAGTCGGGTAATTGGAAGCCATTTCAAGTTCTCTCGCCCCCGTCGTCATTCTCTCTGGACGTCTGACCCGTCTCGCCTGTCGGGGTGTACGCGTAACGTGAAATTAAATCGGGTCAATTAAGAACGCGTATTAATTTTGCTCGTTAATCACGCGACGGCCAGGGTACATCGATTATTTATTCGTAAATCAAATTTAATTACCAGAGCGCGAGCGTGCGGGGGGTGTCGCGTCCCGACGAAATAAATCAACGATTGTCCGACACCACGACGCTGCCGATGATAAAGAAGGAGTGTC